AAAAAATTCCACAAAACCAAGTTTGTTTCACAATTTTCTCCCTTCCTGTGCTTTCTTTTTCACAGAAAGTACATCTTCTTTTTTTTTTTTTTAATCAACAAAATAATTTATCCTGGCTTTATTCAGTAAGTTATCACCATAGTGATCAGATGAATGACTGTCTATTACACTTGCAAGGTGGTCAATGTCAAATGTTAAAAAACAAAATAAGTTGGCTCATACACATTGAGTAAAGTTGGGAAAAAGTTCTTTGATTTTAAATTAGATTATTTCTTTTACAGCAGTTGATGAGTTCATGAAGTAAAGCAAAAAGCTGCCAATAGCTACAAGTCTGGAAGTTCTAGCTGGTTCCTTCCTCTCTGTTGACCGGACTCTAGCACAGGTTGCTCACAAGTTGGGGTCTCCTGCTTTACTCACAAGATGAACTATGGAGCCCAAACTACGTAACAACACAGAGTCTTTCCAGGTCAACAGTCCAAAGCACTACTCCATAGTCAATTAATTTTAACAACGTTTTAGAAGGCAAATAGGGAGAGTCAGAAAAATCACTATCAGTGTGCACAAGAGCCTGCCAGATGAATGTTTTTAATTGTATGCCCTCTACTCTGTGAGGTACTCGAAGTCCTCATTTTCTCTAATTATTATGCATGTCACATTTTAAAAAAAAGGTGTAGTACACTTCTTGAAGTGACCTATTAGACTGAAATAGTGAAAAGGAAGAAGGGAGAGAAAGTGATCAGATTCACATGCATTTGTGAACACTCTTCTAGGGGTTTAAACCTTAAATGACCCTTGAAGGAGACTGCTTTGAGACTTTGACAGATCTTTCCCCCTTTATATAAAAGTAATCATGGGACGCCTGGGTGGCTCAGTTGTTATGCCTCTGTCTTCAGCTTAGGTCATGATCCCAGGGTCCTGGGATTGAGCCCTGCATTGGGCTCTCTGCTCAGCAGGGAGCCTGCTTCCTTCTCTCTCTGCCTGCCTCTCTGCCTACTTGTGATCTCTGTCTGTCAAACAAATAAGTAAAATCTTAAAAAAAAGAAAAAGAGTGAGTGCTACTATTTAAAAATCATCATCATCATCATAGTCCCGTCCCATTAGCATAGTGCTTTCCAGTTTGCAAAGTGCATTTAACATATCATGCAATCCTCACACCAACCTGGGGACTCCCTATGGCTTTTTTTTTTTTAATTTAAATTAATTTAGCCAAGGTTTAGTATGGTTTTGGATTTAATGTCCAATGATTCATCAGTTCAGTTATGGCTTTTTTTAAGGAAAAAAAAAAAATCAAGGTTTGAAGAAGCATTAATTGCCCAAGGTTCCACAGCCCATGAGTGATAAAGCTTTCTGAAGTTGGGTTTCCTGGACTCAGATCCCCTGCTGCCTCCTGGCTTGCAATATCACAGATGTTTAGTTTGAACATGCAGGTATCCTGTCCTTGTCTCTAAGATTGTTTGTATAGGATTATCCCATTTGCAATTCACTTCAAGTAAACAAACACATGGTGCGTTTTTATTACAGTTCAATAAATACAAAGATAAAAAAAACAATCTTTGCTCCCAAAAGTCTTCTCTTCTGGTGGAAAAAGAAGATGCATAAATCATAAACTGCAATCCAAGTTACTCCCTTAATATATTTACCATGACTTCTTGAAAATGTGTGTGAATGTGCGAACAGAAGAAGTACCGAATTATACACTTTAAGTTGGTTGAACTGTATGGTATGTGAATTACCTCTCACTAAAACTATTTTAAAAAGTCAGATAAAAATTCTTTTTAAAAAGGAGATTCTTGGGGCGCCTGGGTGGCTCAGTGGGTTAAAGCCTCTGCCTTCAGCTCAGGTCATGATCTCAGGATCCTGGGATCGAGCCCCACATCGGACTCTCTGCTCAGCTGGGAGCCTGCTTCCCCCTCTCTCTCTGCCTGCCTCTCTGACTACTTGTGATCTCTCTCTGTCAAATAAATAAATAAAATCTTTAAAAAAATAAAAAAAATAAAAAGGAGATTCTTATCTCAAAAAAGCTAAGATAACTACAAAATTATTTACTCTTGATCTTGGACCTGATTTTTGATGCTACAGTCTCAGCATTTTGGGTACTCTTCTTACATAGAGCTATTAATCTATAATCAGTAAACATCTAAGCAAAGTTACATACACTTTACTTGTAGCATTCCTATCTTCATTGCTATTTCTAACGAATATTAAATTTTTGAGATTAAATTCCTTAACAGAAATAGCATGCTTAATCCTCTAAAATAACTACTTATTTTAAAAGTAAATGTAACATAAAACACCAATAGTTACACAAATGTTATTACATAAGAAAAGAGAGGCCTGGCCTGAAGAAAATGTGTACTGGCAAACAGTGCCACCATGGGATTGTTCTAAATAATCACATTCTTCCAAAGTGTGGGCAGAAGCCTCCCTGCCCATAGCCCAACCCTCTGATCCAGTGTAAACTTTTCACGTTACAGGTGAGAATGATAATGCACAAAGGCGTTGACCTCTTGGAATGTCCCAAGAAGATCACAAGTGGAAGTCTCTTCCTCTGCTCACCCCTCCACTGAGTTGGGATTACCCAGTGAAGTCTTTGTTTATTCAGCAAGTAGTTACTCAGTAGCTTCTATCTTGTAGGCATCACTCCAGGCAAGACCCTTACATTGTTACAGCCGGTTAAGAAGCGATCAAATGCATATACATAAATACACAAATAAAAGATACTGATTAGTTGCTAGATAGCTGATTAAAATAAGGTTATTCCTGGCAGTGACTTTGGATCCCAAGAGGATGAGATTAAAATGAGGCCCACATCACTGCTTATGAAGACTGGTGGGAAGAGAAGTCAAGGAAATAGCAGCAGGTTGGAAAAAGTTGAACTTAGAATGTGCTGAGGAAAAGAAAGGAGTCCACAAAACCCTTTTGTGTTTGACTTGAGTAACTGGATGAGTGGTCATGCCAATATTGCAATATGTGCAGAAGGAAGAAGCAGGTTTTGACAGGGGAGATTAGGAATTCTTTGTTGATCTTACAAAGTTGAGATGCCTGAAAGACATTTGAGGGGGGTGGGGTAATATGAGGGATGGGACTAAGGGAGCACATGCTAACTGAAGAAACTTACCAGCCGAATGTATTGGTGCTTCCCATTTGACCTAAGGAGTCTAAGGAGACTCCTAGATTTGCAGCAGAGTGGCATGAAAGGATGTGGTTGGTGGGAGGCAGAGGCAGAGGTAGAGAGAACGCTCCTGGTTGATACTATGGAGAACAAATATCTCACTGCAAAATAAGGAATTTCTGCCTCCAAAGAGTCTGGTTTAACATTAAGGATAGAAAACTTCTGTATTTGTGGGTGGGAGACCCAGACTTTACCAGAAAATCAGATGTTAAAATCTACTGTGTGCCTCTTTCAAATAATGAAAATGTCTGTATGTTTCCACTGTGTCCCCTAGCATCATGTTTATGTTTTAGCAATGCCAAAAAACAAAACTAATAAAAACAAAAACAAAAACAAAAACAGTGATACAATGAGAATGAACTCTGAACCACTCTTACCCTATTAATCTATTTTTCATGTTACAGTCAAAATGCTTTTTTGAAGTTGCAAATCTAAACAGGACATGAACCTCTGAAATGCCTTTACCATCTTTTGTCAAACTCCTCACCATGGTCCACCAGCTCCTGTATGCCAGTCCCTGTCAATGTCTCCAGCCTTTCTTCTTGCTACCTCTTGCTCGTAGGACCTGCTGAGTGTGCTTTCCTCAAATGTGCCTTGTGCTCACTCTCATTGCCAATGCTCTGTCCTCTAACAGGACAAGACAGAGGATTCCTGCTCATCTCTTCCCAGAACTAACTCCTACTTATTCTTCAGGTCTTTGTCATATAACACTCGCACAGAGGAAGTTCTTCTAGAAAGGCTGCCTTGTTCCCTTGTCCCAAATCTGATTTAGATGCTTTTCCTCCAGACATTCTATCATCATTAACCTTAATCACCTCATATTACTTGTGACTACCCTCCATAATTTTGTTGAAGGCAGGGACCATGGTGGTCGTGTCCCCCACACTGAGTATATTTGTGGGCACTTAGCTTCTAGGGGCTCAAAATATACTGTTGAACAAATGCAAAGAAAATTTTCTTCTAGACTATAAGTTACTAGAGGACAGGAAACCTGGACTGGTTTCTGGTTTTCTAACTAAGCATTGTGTGAGGATATGGATAGAATTTTTTAACTTAGAGTTCTGTTTGTTTGTTTTTAAGATATATATAGACAGATATTGTATAATACATACAATATATATTTCAGAAAGATATATATTATATATGCATCATATATATTATATATACATATATATAGACAGGGAGATAGAGAGAGATAGGGAGAAGAACAGAGAGGCAGGGAGAGGAAGGGGGAAAAATCCCAAGCTGACCCATGCTCAGTGCAGAGCTAAGCTCACTGGATCAGGGGCTGGATCCTATGGCCCAAGCCAAAACCAAAAGTCAGAAGTTTAACCTACTGAGCCACCCAGGTGCCCCTAAAGTTCTATTTTAAAGAGCTCTATTTCCCTTGTAAGATTTGGACTTATCGAGAACAGTATTTCAGGCAAAGAGCCCTGCCACTATCTTTTTGAAGACTTTGGTCAGATTTTAACTTTCATAGCCATGGATGCAATTTCCAAGTCCATCTAGACAAATATTTGTACCTACTCACGCCTTCAATATGGTCTGCCCTAGTAAATGAACTTCTGTTAGGTACCCCTGCATCTGAGCATGAGCCTACGAGTGAGATACTTGGTACGATCCTGAGGCTTCAATGACTTGATTAAAAAATATATGTTTTTGAGGGCTTTGAAAGACTTGGAGACCTTTATTTTCCTACAATGTGGAAATAAGTTTTAGAACTAATCACAACATTTAATGCATCAATTCTTTACACTTAAAATCAAGAACACAAAATCACAATCTACCTAAAACATGTATTTTAAGAAGTATAAATATTTGTAATTACCTTCTAGTGCGTATTTCATATCTTGAGTGAAAAGGGTCCACATAATTTCAGCACTTATTTTTCCCATGTTCAGTTCTTGAGGAAACCTAAAACCAAACACATATATGAGTACATCAAAAAGAGAAATCTGTCTAAAAAATGAGACACCTCACTTGACATATATGCCACAGTAATTGATGTCTGGTTCATAAATACTTTTATTTATGAGTTTTTCATTATAAACTTTCATAGGCAGGGGCAAAGCTACATACCAGAGTGTAGAAATAAACACAGTTATTTGGTGCTGGAAAAATAGACTCTGTAACATTAGTCCAAGGTAGTGGTGCCTGGAACTCCTGATGGATGTCTTAGGCTATGTGTGTGTTTGTTCTAAAGAGCCCTTTTATTTGTATCTCAATTTTGAACAGAGGGCAAAAGACTCTGAGTACGTAATAGCCAAAACAACACCTTACATTCATCTGTTAGTCATTTTCCTTAAAGCATGCTTGAGTCCTTCCATTCTTTATTTGCTTAAAATAAATTATTTCAGAAAGACTCCCTACTTCTCTAGTAAAATGGCCCACGGGGGACCCATTCCTCAAGACTCCAGAATTCCCAAGTATGTCTGTGTTTTAGATCAAATAAATTTCAGGATTAACATTCCTAGTGCTGCTAAATATGCATTCCTTTGTACGTGCTTTCAATCTTATGATAAGGCTCCCAGTAATATAAGCCCAATGAATAGAATGACTAAGTCTTTTCATTATATTGAAAACACGACATGCCAATATATTAAGACTGAAAGTATTTTCTGTTCTAATAAATATTTAATATATACATAAATACAAAAATAATATATACTAAGAAAGAAAAAATACAGTAAGGAATACTGTATTCACGTTCATTTATATTTTTGAGTTTAAATAAAAAAGGAGTAATAGCAATGCTGAATAGCAAAGAAAGTGTTACCTAAGTTAACATGACCTCAATATGACCTCAAATAAAAAAAAAAAAAAAACCACTGACACTACATAAAACTATTCTAACCCAACTTTGCACCAAAAGAAGCTGTGTTTCATCACATATCCCTTACCAACTGTCATCTATCAATTTGTCTAATAATATCAATTGATATTTTAAAATTTATGTGCAGAGTCTGTACATTTATCAAGTATTTAAACTCAGGACACTTGCTATGATCGAAAAAATTTACATAACTTGAATATATGCAAATTAGTTTCAACATTAAATTTTATTCTATGGATATAAAATAAACTTAGGCATATAATTTATTTCAAAAGTTTTCATTTGTGGATAGCCACTAACATCGCATAATTTGTAGTGTATTATTTTTTATGTAATAATTATGTAGCAACAAAATTGTAAGTGATAACATAATGAGAGTGCTTTAAGCTCATAAAAGGAGGAAATTATTTTAACTTTTTGAATCAAGAATGAAGAACATATTAATTCACTTTATAATGCTTTGATATTAAAAAAATTACAAAAAGAAAACCAAAAAACACTATCTCTCATAAGAATAGTTGCAAAATTCTTCAGTAAAACATGGCAAATTTGATCCTGCCATAAATAAAAAGGATAATACATCATGATCAAGAGAGGTTTATCCCCAAAATGCAATGTTGGTTCAACATTCAAAAATGAATCAATGTAATTTATTGTATTAATTGACTAAGTAGAAAAACTTATCTGACAAAGCTTTATATTTATTCATGATGAACAAATAAAATTCTGAAAACTAGGGATTAGAGGGAATTCAACATTATAAAGAGAATGTACAAAAACCTACAACAAACATTATACTTAATTAATACTGAAATCAAAGCAGTGATATTTACATCACTACTCTTATTAAACATTATACTGGCATTCCTAAAGTTTTAAAGAAAACAAGAAAAAGAAATAAGAAAAGGGATATATAGAGTCCCTGGGTGGCTCAGTCGATTGGGCGTCTGCCTTCAACTCAAGTCATGATCTCAGGGTCCTAGGATTGAGCCCCATGTCTGGTTCCCTGCTTAGCAGGGAATCTGTTTCTCCCATTCCCTCTGCCCCTCCCTGCTGCTTGTGCATGCCTGCTCTCTCTCTCTCTCTCAAATAAATAAAAGCTTAAAAAAAAGAAAGAAAGAAAAGGGGCATATCGATAGCAAAGGAAGAAATAAAATTCTATTTTCAGACATGATTATCTATGCAGAGAATTAAAAAAAAAAAAACACTAGAGAAAAAGCCATTAATGGTCCAGTAGCCTCATGGAATATAAAGTCAATATCCAAATCATTGTATTTTTATACATTAGCATTCAACCATTGGAGACTGAAATTTAAATAACAGTATCAATCATAATGTCACCAAAAGTTATGAAATACTTAGGTATAAATCTATGAAAATATGTACAAAATTTATATGAAGAAGACTATAGAGTGTTGAGGAGAGACACCAAATAAAACCTAAATGGAGAAATATATTGTACTTGTGGATAGATATATCCAATATTGTTAGGATGTCAAATTTTCCCAAATTGATTTATAGATTCAATCAATCTCAATGAGAATTCCAGCAGGATATTTTTGTGGAAACTGACAAAGTGATTCTAAAATTTACATGGTAAGGATAAAGACCAGAAAGAACAAAAAGTAATGTTAAAAAAAGCTGAAGCAGTTACAACACCTGTCTTCATAGTTTACTATGAAATATAGTAATTAAGACACTGCATCTTCAAATACAAGGTTAATTATTGTTCAATAAATGTTCCAGTGATTCAGTGGGGAAACGGTAGTCTTCAGTAAGTTGTCCTAGAGTAACTGGATATCCATATGCAAAAAAAAAAAAAAAAAAATAGACCTTGACCCATACTTTATGACATATAAAAAATTAACTCAAAATGGATCACATACCTAAATATAAAACCTTAAACTATAAAACTTCTAAAACAAAACATAGAAAATCTTTCTGACTTTGCACTAGGCAATGGTTACTTAGATGTGATGCAAAAAGTTCAAATCATAAAATAAAATATTGATGAATTATACTATGAAAATTAGTTTGTTCTTCAAAAAGTACTACTGAGAAAATGAAAACACAAGCAACAGTATAGGAGAAAACAGTTTGCAAAACATGTAATTGATAAAGGAATTTTATCCAAAATACATAGATTACTCTCCAATCTCAATAATAAAAAAATTACCCAATTAAAAAAATGGGCAAAGGATTTGAATGACACTTCAGCAAGGAAGATAATGAAAATTAAGCACATGAGAATGTGTTCAACAGTACTATTAGGTAATTTCAAAATAAAACTATAATGTGGCACCATTATATGCCTGCTAGAACAGCTTAAAAACAAAATGAAACAAAGTAAAACAAAATCTGCCAATACCACGGCTAGCAAGGTTGCAGAGGAGCTAGAACACTGATATATTTTGGCTGAGAAAAAAAGAATGTTAGATTCAGATTGGGAAACAATTTGGCAATTTCTTATAAAGCTAAATATACGTTTAACCAGCAGTCCTTCTCCAGGTAGTAGAGAAATGAGACTATATTTATAGCAAACACTGTACATGTTGCTTAATTCTTAATCACCAAAAACTGCAAACATCAGTGTCCTTCAACTGATGAATGGATAAATCAGCAGTGATAGATTCATAGGATGGAATTTACTAAACAATAAAAAGGAATAAAATACCAATACATGTAATAATGCAGATGAGTACCAAATGAATTATGCTGAATGAGAGAAGCTGGGTTCAAAGGCTTATATACCATGATTCTAATACAGTATTAGAAAGACAGAAAGAGAAAATGTATCAGTGGTTGCCAGTGGCTTGGGGAAGAGGGGTTGACTATAAAGGAATGTGGAGAAACTTTTGGGGTGATAAATATATTTTATATCTTAATGTTGGTAGTTACATGACTATGTGTTTTTTATTTCATCAGTTTCTGCTCTTCATTATTTCCTCATTTTCTTTGAGTTTAATATGTTGTTTCTTTTCTGAATTTTTTTTTTAAAGATTTTATTTATTTATTTGACAGAGAGAGATCACAAGTAGGCAGAGAGGCAGGCAGAGAGAGAGGAGGAAGCAGGCCCCCTGTGGAGCAGAGAGCCCGATGTGGGGCTCGATCCCAGGACCCTGGGATCATGACCTGAGCCGAAGGCAGAGGCTTTAACCCACTGAGCCACCCAGGCGCCCCACTTTTCTGAATTCTTAAGAAAGATTCTTAGGTAATTAATTTGAGGACTTTCTTCCATTGTTTTGTGCATGTAGGGCATAAATTTCTTATAGGAACTACATTTAGCTGTATCTTAAAAAATATTTTGCTGGATATACATATTAATCTAATCAGACTATTTTAAAATTTTAATTTCGGTATTTTTCTACTTTGAGAAGTTTCCAATTTTACTGTCCTAATTTTTTTTAACTGAAGTATAATTGACACATAATGTTACATTAATTTCAGGTGTACCACATAGTGATTCAGTATTTCTATTATACTATGCTTTGCTCACTACACCTGTAGCTATTATCTTTCACAAGACAATGCTATTACATAACATTGATTATATTCCCTATGCTGTACCTTTCATTCCTGTGATAATTTATTCCATAACTTGAAGCCTGTATCTCCCAATCTCCTTTACCCATTTTGTCCATGGCCAAACCCCTCCCTTCTGGGAACCATCAGTTTGTTCTCTTTATTTATAGGTTTCTGCTTTTTGTTTGCTTATTCATTCACTTTGATTTTTAGATCCCATATGTAAGTGAAATCATATGTTGTTTATCTAATCTTGATTTCTTAACTTCAGTTCTTTTTGTTGCTGTTTTCTCCTTAGCTTATAGTCAAAGAACACATTTTGAAGGATTTTGATCTTTTGAAATTTGTTGAGATTTTCTTTACACCCCACCATGTAGTTAACTTTGATAAATAATCTTTATTTTACATTTTTTGTGTTCTTGAACATAATTCTGGTTATTTTTTTCTGCACTATCTTCATGTTAACTAATTTTCTTTTCATTTGTGTCTAACATGCTGGTAAATCCAGTATTATTTTCATTTGTTGTAGTGCTCAGTTCTAGAATTTACTTTCAAATGC